AAGGTCGAAGTCTCCGGCAGGGCAGCAGGGAAGGCAAGGCAGAATCACAGGTTAGTTGAACAGGCAGGATGTTGATCTCAGGTTGGCAGTCAGACAAGAGGGAGCAGGCTGGATCACAGGTCGTTAGAGCAGGCAAGGGTTCGGTACCAGGAAAGCAGTCAGAGGAAAACGCTAGAGTCTAGACAAGGCAGAGAACAATCTGGCAGCTCCTCACAGGTTGTATACAGTATAAAAGAACTGTCACCAAATATGTACAAAGTAGATAGTTTGGACATACAGTAATTACAGAACCTCAAAGTCCCTGCAAAGGAGGTCTGACACTGTATACAGAAAGAGTTTCACAAGAGTTATTAAAGCTGAAGGTAGCGCTTGGTGAGGGTGGTTATATTGACCAAAACCAAACAAACAACAACAAAAAAAACAGTTGACCAGCAATTTTATTTCCTGTAGTGTACAGCACACTGTACACTACTGTACTGTACTGTATATAGTGTAAAAATGTTGGTTTCTTACAGAAACGGTTTAACCCAAGTTGTCAATAGCCTTTGGGAAATGAGAACACTGCTGCTGACACATACTTTATGTGTAGTGGTACCAGTCCAGAGGTAATATGTAATAGAATAGTGTGTTCATATATAGATATTATTTGTAGTAGTCATGTAAGGGTGAGCTAAGTGTTTATATAATCTTGGAGAGATCTGTTTCCCTTCTCTTAACTGTTTGGAGATGTTTGTGCATGATGATCCTTGGGAACTATCTACTGATAGTATGCTCAAGCATGGATATCTTGGCTAAACATCCAGAGAGAAGTCCTCCTTAAATGGAAAAAGGACATAGCTTCAGCCTTATGTAAACAGTTTGTGTGCTCTGTTCATGTTTAGAAAAAGGAAATGTGTGCTGGGTCAATGCAACCTAGAAGTTCATGTACTGGACATCTTAGACAATGCTCGTAAGGGGTGTAGAGCTGGCATGGGACTGTGACTCTGGCTTAAGCATTAGGCTGTGTAACTGCGAGAAAAAGTTAGGACAGCTGTGGGTTTGGTGCTGCAGTCGTGAGTGTGCGTTTGGACCCGGCCGAGGGGACTTGGACTCTGGACTGACTGACTGTAGGGCCAACCATGACTGATGAACTTTGTGACAATTTTCTTATTTAATACTGTATTTATTCCTTTGCAGAGGTGGTGATTCGACTCCCTATCTTGCAAACTACTGAGGTGCCTTGAATTATTGCAATATTAAATTATCATTGTAATTGGCCTGATTTGTCTGAATTAATTTAGTTTACATCAGGCTCAAACTCTACCACACACAGTACGTGTACTTTACATGTATTTTATGCATCAACAACATGTTGCGTTATGTGTCAAATTTTAAGTATTGTTGACATGTAACCAACATGTACCCACATAGCAAAATTGGTCTGGCCCAGTTGAGGGCAATGAGGCCATGTGTGGGCCACCTCTGGCAAACCATGTCTGGACCACCAATGGGCCGTCATTCTTTGCGCTATGTCGGCCGAGTGTCAGGTCCGCTCGGCGCGACCTGACACCACTAAGTGTGCACTTAGTAATTCACATGGTGGAGTTGCATATGTCATTACGCTTGGTGAGGTAGTGAGGGGTTAGAATATACTAAAACACAGTTTACATTCAGGCTTGTTTCCATTGCTTGGTAGAGAATGTCCTGCTATTACTCAAAATGTTTCTGGATAAGGATAATCACCTTTATTGGCCAAGTATGTTACACACAAGGAATTTGTTTCCGGTACAGAACCAATGACAGCCATCTGTGGTGCCACCTCAACCGACAGCTCTAACCATCAGTGGCGACTGGGGGTTCAGTGTCATGCCCAAGGACACTTCGACAAATGGACTTGTTAGGTATTAGGAAGGAATGCAAATGTTGAGACACCTGGAATAAGTTCTTTTAACATGACAGATACATAGTGTTGTGCAACAGTACCCAGAAAATAACCCAAACATCCTCAGAGTTCAGCTTCCGATGTTTAAAATGAAGCATAGCTTCCAGTCTAGCTCTGACATAGTTGCTATTCATCAAGGTATGAGCCCAGAGGTCTCTTTGACCAAGCTGAAACAGATGCTCTCCTCCTAGTTGTGCCTGTGTTATCAGCAGAGTCAGAAAGGAGTTTCAGCAGTCTCCGGAGGCTGAAAACATGGCTACGCAGCACCATGACCCAAACCCGCCTCAACAGTGTTGCTGTGTGCCCT